ATAATAATAATAATAATAATTATAATAATAATAATAAAAATCTGTGCATCATAACGCATGTTTTGTCCTTTTTTTGTATGTTTTATCCATCACCAACAATCTTTTTCTGTTTAACAATGATGATTAAGAGAAGAAAAAGAACATTAAAGTTCACGTTTTTTGGGAAAAACAAGAGGGATTTATGCAACAGCGCATAGGGAAAACCTTATTAACCCGGGAGAGAACGAGAAAAAAAAAAACCATGTCAGCACCGCCACCCGCAACACGATGGCGTAGGCGAGCCCATTACGCCTATGTCGAAGCGCGTCCGCTCGTGTGCATTCTAAGCATAGGCTTGCCTAAGCACGACTCCACGAGCGATGACAACGACGATGATGAAGACGGATTGTTCAGCGGAGAGGAGGAGGAGGACGCGACGCCGCCGCCGTCAGACGACGATGACGGAAACCCTCCTCCTCCTCCTCCTCGATGACAACAACAGTCTAGCTGAGGAGGAGGATCAGGGGAGGAGGAGGACACGTAGCAAGCCGCTCTGTACCTATCATCGTCGCGGCGGGGGACGTCGCGGCAACCACGTCGTCAGTGTGGCCCCACTGAGCTGGCCCTGGTGGCCCGAGAGAGCCCCGTGGCCGCGTTCGCGCTCTTTTTCACGCGCGCCATGGAGGAATCTGTGCTGTCAGCCACCAACGACGACGTGACCCGCAAGGGGAGGGCGCGCTGGTCGCGACCCATGTGTCACAAGGATCTCCGCACATACGTGGGCCTGCTGCTGCTAGCGGGCATGTTCCGCTCGCGGGGCGAAGCGTGCGAGAGCCTGTTGCGTGCCGAAATGGGCCGCAAGGTGTTCCGCGAGACCACACCCCTCGAACGGTTCCGCGCGTAGTCAGCCGCACTGCGTTTAGACGACCGCAAGACGAAGGAGGCTTGACGCGTCGCCGGGGACCGTCTCGCCCCCATCGGCGAGCTGTGGCGCGCGTGGACCGAGCGGTTGCCACTGGCGTACTCGCCCGGTGTGATGGTCAACGAGAGGCTGGTTCCGTTAAAAGGCGAGAATGAATACGACGACGCCTGCAGAGTAGCGGCGGTGGTTCGAGCCCGTTCGCTCGCTTGCACGCTTCTCCGTATATCTCTCTACATCACTCTCTCACTCTCTCTCTCTCTGTGTGCGTGTGTGCGCGACAGGCAGGTGCGGTTTCCGACAGTACATGCCGTGCAAGCCCGTGCTCTACGGAATCAAGCTGTGGGTGGCATGCGACATGCGCTTGAGCTACGCGTGGCATGTGCAAGCGTACACAGGCAAATGCGACGAGGGCGTCGTTGAACGAAACCTGTCGGAGCGCATGGTCGTGGACCTGACCAAGGGTCTGAGCGTGGGCACCCTCGTGACCACCGACAACTTTTCACCACGCCGCAGCTGGCCGAGAGGCTGGCCCGCGAATGCGGCGTGTACCTGCTGGGCTCAATGCGAGCCAACCGCGCCGCGCGAGACCTACTGCGAGCTCTGCTGGAGGACGCGACGCATGAGCTGTGCACGAGCCGCTTCGCGTTAAAGCGCGACGTCTGCATCGTGTCGTACGCGCCCAAACGACGACGACGGGGCGGTAACAACAAAAAGAACGTGCTGCTGTTGACGACCGCGCCTGAGCTGATGTGGCTCCCGACGCCTCCCAACGACGAAGACAAAGACAACAAGCCACCCGCGCTGCAGCGCTACAACGTGACCAAAGGCAGCGTCGACAACCTTGACAAGGTCACGGCCACGTACAGCGTGCGCAGGAGAACGCTCCGGTGGCCCATGGCGCTCTTCCACAACATAATCGACGTGTCTGCGTACAATGCGTTCGTAGTGTGGTGCGAACTGCGGCCCGACTGGATGCCGGGTAAACGCGACTGTCGCAGGCGGTACATGGAACAGCTGGGGCTGGAGCTGACGGCGGACGCGCGATGACAACGACAACAACAACGAGGAGACAACGACGAACGCGACCGCCCGGGCCCCCGACGAGGAGGATCACGCGAGACGCAAGCGGTGCAGCGTGTGCCCGCGATCCAGGGACGTTAATATGCTCGCGAGTTGCGCGTCGATATGCTTGGGCCGCGCCGTGTTACTCTGCCCCTCGTGCACGCAAAGTACAACAACAATGCATTCGTCCTCCGCCGTCGCTAGTAGCGAGCATCTCCGATGAGAGAGGAGGACATGTTATGTGTGCTTTTGTATATAAAGTTTTGTGTTTGGGTTTTCTCTTTTAACAAAACAAACAAAAAAAAACACTCCGATAAAAGACAAGACACAGACCACGAACACATTGCAAAGCTTTATTTTCTTTGAATACGCATGTCTAAACAACAACAACAACAACAACCCGGATGGTCGGTATACAAAAGAAACAGACACGATTATTGTGATTCAGTAAAGGTTTTTTTATTTTTCATTTACACACAACCCCCCAAAAATGCACGTGCGGTTGTATTATATCAGCAATAAAAAAAATCAATGTAGACGTGTTTGTTTTTATTTTTTCCTCTTCCTCCGGATGGACAATTTCACCTTTTCACAGATAGACCGCGAGCTCGTCCAGCAGCACCTCAGCAGCATCGCCGCTGCCGCCATCGGCAGCGGCGACGTCGGTCACCTCCGCGCACGCCCAGCATGCGCGCCCCCTTCGTCTTCTTCCTTGGAGAAGAGCAAACCCTCGCTCAGCATCGACACCGTCAGCAGCATGAGCCGCCTGCACACGGGGGAGTAGTCTTGCAGTTGCACAGTCGCGGGCGGCGCAAACTCCTTTTTGCTGTGCGCCTCCTCCCCGGCAGCGGCATCTCGGACCCGCTCTCGGCGACTGAGTATCTGGCCGAACTCCGAGCGCGTTCGCGCCACGCTCGAGTCCGCGACGACCCGTCTGAGGACCTCCGAGGATCCTCCTCCTCGAGGCCGGCGTCTGCCTTCGGCCGCAGCCGCCACCGATTCTCACATTCGCTTTCGCGTCATAATATAGTTGCCGACGCTCTCCGATAAGCTGTGGCGATGATTCATCGTCGTCGTTGCATTTTCAGTTGTTATCTAAGTGTATATTGCGTGTCACACGCACGCTTTCCGTTCGTCGTGTGTTTTTTTGTTTGTTTGTTATGTTTTTCCCTTCCTCCGCACTCGTCCCCCCACCCGCGAAAATAATAAATATATTGTGGTGGTCGCTCAAAGTCCGCCCGAGGCGCACGAGTGGCACACTTTGCCGCACGGATCTTCTCGCGCCCAGCCGCCTTCTATCGTCATGATCGCTTGGCTCCGACAGCCCACGCAGTAGAACTCATAGGTCCCGGGATAAACTAGACTCCTCTCTCATTCCCGGCGTTCTTTGGCCCCCGTGATTTGATCCGGTTTGATGAGTTTTATGCGCATCACACCCCTTCTCTCTCCTCGCACGATTTGTTTCATCGGCTTCTCGATCCGGTCCGCCCGAAGCGCGCATTCCGCTTCTTCTTCGACGATGACGACTGTTGCGGTGCGCTCTTCTCGCGGCGCATCCATCGTGCGTGCTGCTAACGCTCGGATTACAAGAATGAGAACTGCTCGACCCGCGTTCATATGTGTGTGTGCGCGCGCAGACCTCGTCCGTCCGTCCGACCGTGTATATGTGGTCGGTCGTTTTTTTATATAAAATACATGAACGCAGCCATGCTAGACGCGCCCTTTGCGGTCAAAAAAGGCGACGATGACGACTTATTCGACGAAAGCGACGAGGCGCGCGAGAGCAAAAAAAAAATTGAAGCTTTCTCACACGCGCGCCTTTGCTGCTGCGAGCGTAAAACAGAGCCTATTTTTTAAGAAAATAAAACAACAAAGGCAACATGGTTGTTGTTGTTGTTGTTCTTACTCTTTATCGGTTTTGTCACCCATGTGCGCTCCAACAGGATGCGGTTTCGTTTCGTGACAAGCATGTTTTTTATTGTAACACTTTCTTGGTTGTTTTTTTTAACAAAAAGAAACACTCTGTGTACTTGATAACAATTAAAATGTGCACAAACAAATCTGTTGTTGTTATTGTTTTATTGTAAAACTTGTTATACTGTCTGTTTCGCGTAAAAAGGGGGACATTTATTTTGTCTTGTGTAATTCTTTATTGGTTGTTTATTTTTACTATACTTGAGAGCACACACACAAACACAAACACAGTTTCTCCTATAATCATTTTTTTATTTTGGTTATTTTTTTACAAAAAAAAAACAAAAGAGGAAAAAAAATAAACAACACAACGTAGTCGTTGTTGAGATGGCGGCAACCTCACAACGACGCAACAAACTTGCGAACCCGAGCCGTCACGGCCTTGCGCTTCTCCGCGTTGCTCTCAAAGTCCTCGTTGCCATCGAGGATCAGCACGGGCGTAGTCTCTTCTCTGCGGCAAGAGGGACCGAGCCACGCTTCGTGCTTCACGTGGAGCTGCTCCAGGTACTTGATCTGAATCCCCCGCTCCTCAGCCTGCCCGCGGCGCACCAATCGCAGCGCGCAACGCTCGGGGTTCGCCCGTACGTACACAATGCCGTCGAGGCGCAACTCGGGCTCGAAGATTTCCAAGAGCCAAGTGTTCCAGTCTCTGTACACGTGCCACTCGGTATCGTTCAATGCGCCGCGTTCGTGCAGCGTGCTCGCGAACACCCACGCATCCGAACACACCGAGCGCTCGAAGAAGCGCACAACAGCTTCATCACCCTCCTCCTCTCCCCCTCAGTCCGCCGTCTGAGCGCGGATCCTGCTCAGGCAAGCGTACGCCTGGAACGTGAAGGCTCATCGCTGCGAATCCTCGTACAGCGAGAGCAGCAGGTTTCCCCCGTCCCCCCGGTTTCCGCTGCGCCACTCGGACAAGGGCTCGGGGATCGAGCGCCAACCAGGCTTGGCCTCTGACAAGATCCGCAGCAGCGTTGACTTGCCCGCCATGATGTTGCTCTCCACCAAGATTCGTTTCGTCGTCTTAGTCTTATTATCATTATTAATATCTTCTTCCCCTCCCATTGTCGCAGTAGTAGTGCGCTCCCTCCCCGCCTCGTCTTTATTATATGCCTCTTTTCAGTCACGTGACCCGCCCCGACCACGCCTCCTTCCAATTAGGTCAGGGGCGACAACAAGGCTCCGCTCGTCTGGGTCCCCCGACCCCGCTCGCACCACGGATAATCGCCAACCTCCCCCAGGGGGGTGTTTAAAAACGCGTTCCCCATCAGATACCGGGGCCCAAGGGGTGAACAGTTCCCGCTGGCGTTTGGCGACCGCCCCGGGGCGGGGTTTCCGAAAAAAAAAATATTTTAAACAATAGTACATAGAAACAACCACACGGGGTAATTTATCAACACACATCCGAAGCACAACGGAAGTTCAACGGTATGTTGGCGAATGGGTGTGTATACCGTTGTGAACGCAAATATTGTGGAGTCGTTGGGCACACGCGAGTCGGAAAATAAAATTTCAAAACAACATGTAATAATAATGTGTGTTTATGATTTTATTTCGTTATTGTTACATTTCTTGTTTATATAAAAAAGATAAGGAAACATTATAAGCTTCTTTATGTTCAAAGTCCGCGATCTTCAGTGTACCTATCCGGATGCATCAACAATAGTTTCCATTATAGTGAACACGTCACCGACCAATTCCTTCCTGCGGTCGTTCGCTTCTTTCGTTGCTCCACGTTCTTTGAACGTGCAATAATTAAACGCGTCGTTGACTGTTTCTTGGTGCCGAAGATCACACTTCCATAACAACACGGGTTCACATATAAACATCGTAGCTCTTTCTTCTTGATCGCGCAACCTGGCCATGTAAAATCGAAACTCCCAGACTTTGAATTCATCGCTGTGATACTCCTCTTGAAGTTTGTCGGGTTGTTCAACAACACGTCGTTGTATATTTCACCGATGTCGGCGCATTTTTCTCTTATATCGCACAAAAGCTCTTCGAGTAGACCGCGTCGTATGTCGTATTTTACATCTGGGCATTGCGATTCCCATTCCATATCTAACTCGATCTCTAGCGTGTTATACGCCGTTACTGTCACAGTGTACCTCCACATCACAAGCTTCTCGGTTTTGATGTCAAACGACATGTTTGCATTCGAGTCTGAGTCTGAGACTGAAGTGTTGAGCAGTTATGCGTTTATATATATTATGTATGCGGGCTTCCTGACCGACCACGCTGCACCGGTCGTACGTTCACCGACCGACCACGAATTCTGTTTTTATTATGTTGATGAAGATATTCACATACCACCTACCGACCGGATTCGTTTTGTTAATACGCTAACAGTGATGTATAGTGGAAACAAATTATAAATAAACAGTTTGTACTTATATTTTATCTCTTGTATATTTGTCCTTTAAATAAGAAAAATAAACACCACCTCACGTTGTCGCTGTGCGTTAAGCTGGAGACGAGGTGGACAAGTGGTTAAGGCGATGGAATGTTAGTCTGTCTTGCTTTGCACACGCAGGTTCGAATCCAACCCTCGTCAATGATACGTCATGTGTATAACACACAACTCAATAAAGTTAAATGAAACACAGACTATGTTCATTTTTATTATATGCAATGTTTCAATAAACAAAATATCACTCGCAATACACAGATTATTGATAGTGTGTTTAATGAAAACAAACATCATCGTTATTTTTCTTGCTGTTCAGAGACGTCCACGATTTGCTTCAGCAGATTCATGACCCGGTTCCGTAATTTCCTTCAACTCTCCCGGCCGCTCTCGTCACGCCTTTGTTCTCGTCGTAAGTCTAAAAAAAGCGTCGATGACGGACTCCTGATATACTCTATCGAGCGTATCACTCGCCAAAGCCTCATCTTCGGACGTGTGAGCATGGGCACATTGCGTTATAGTATGCGCACACCGCAGCTTGTGGCGTAAGAGGCGAGTTGTTTTTATAGTTTCGTAGACGATTATCGTATATCAATGGAATCAGAAGCGATCGTGTAATGCATCACGCATTACACGATGGTAATGGTCGTGCATGGACCAATGTAAACTAGCATTTGTTATGGTTTGTAGTTTAGCGTACCACGCATTATGTAGCAGAGTATGGCGCGTATTAGACGATCTTATGTTTTGTACAATCTTTCTACGACGCGTTGCACAACATGTTACACATGTACGCTACACCCAAATATCAAGTAGCCGAGAGAACATTTCGAGAAAACTTTCGAAGGTTCTCTTGAGAGAACGAACGTACGAGCGTGCGTGCAACGCGTTATAGTACGCGCACACCCCAGTTCGTGGCATGAGTCGAGTTGTTTTTATAGTTTCGTAGACGATTATCATATTTCAAGGGCATCAGAAGCGATCGTGTAAACTCATCGCGCAATAGGTGGTCGTGCAAGGACCAATGTAAACTAGCATTTGTTTTGGTTTGTAGTTTAGCAAACCACACGTTATGTAGCAGAGTATGGCGCATATAAGACGATCTGATGTTTTGTACAATCTTCCTACAACGCGTTGCACAACATGTTACATGTGTACTCTACACCCAAATATCAAGTAGCCGAGAGAGAACGTTTCGAGAAAACTTTCGAAGGTTGTCTTGAGGGAACGGACGTACAAGCACGCGCGCAATGCGTTATAGTATGCGCACACCGCAGCTCGTGTCGTAAAAGGCGAGTTGTTTTTATAGTTTCGTAGACGACCATCGTATTTTAAGGGCATCAGAAGCGATAGCAGAGTATGATGCGTAAAAGACGATCTGATGTTTTGTGCATTTTCCTACAGCGCGTTGCACAACATGCTACACGTGTATGCTACACCCAAATATCAAGTAGCCGAGAGAACGTTTCGAGAAAACTTTCAAATGTCTTGAGAGAACGGACATACGATCGCGTGCGCAACATGTTATAGTACGCGCTCACCGCAGCTTGTGGCATAAGAGGCGAGTTGTTTTTATAGTTTCGTAGACGATTATCGTATTTCAAGGGCATCAGAAGCGATCGTGTAACGCGTCGCGCAGTAGGTGGTCGTGCAAGACCAACTTAAACTAGCATTTGTTTTGGTTTGTAGTTTAGCGTACCACGCGATATGTAGCAGAGTATGGCACGTATTAGACGATCTGATGTTTTGTACAATCTTCCTACGACGTGTTGCACAACATGTTACATGTGTACGCTACACCCAAATATCAAGTAACCGAGAGAAGGTTTCGAGAAAACTTTCGAAGGTTGTCTTGAGAGAACGGACATACGAGCGCGTGCGCAACGCGTTATAGTACGCGCACATCGCCGCTCGTGGCGTAGGAGGCGAGTAGTTTTTATAGTTTCATAGAGAATTATCGTATTTCAAGGGCATCAGAAGCGATCGTATAAGGCGTCGCGCGGTAGGTGGTCGTGCAAGGACCAATATAAACTAGCATTTGTTTTGGTTTGTAGTATAGCAAACCATGCGTTATGTAAAAGAGTATGGCGCATATAAGACGATCTGATGTTTTGTACAATCTTGCTACAACGCGTTGCACAACATGTTACACATGTACTGTACACCCAAATATCAAGTAGCCGAGAGAGAACGTTTCGAGAAAACTTTCGAAGGTTGTCTTGAGAGAAAGGACGTACGAGCATGCGCGCAATGCGTTATAGTATGCGCACACCGCAGCTCGTGGCGTAAAAGGCGAGTTGTTTTTATAGTTTCGTAGACGATTATCGTATTTCAAGGGCATCAGAAGCGATCGTGTAACGCGCCCGCGGTAGGTGGTCGTGCAAGGGCCAATGTAAACTAGCATTTGTTTTGGTTTGTAGTTTAGCGTACCACGCGTTATGTAGCAGAGTATGGCTCTTATAAGACGATCTGATATTTTGTACAATCTTCCTACGTTGCGTTACACAACATGTTACACGTGTACGCTGCACCCAAATATCAAGTAGCCGAGAGAACGTTTAGGGAAAACTTTCAAAGGTTGTCTTGAGAGCAAAGAAGTAAGAGCGCGCGGGCAACACATTATAGTACGCGCACACAGCAGCTCGTGGTGTAAGAGGGAGGTTGTTTTTATAGTTTCGTAGACGATTATCGTGTTTCAAGGGCATCAGAAGCGATCGTGTAACGCGTCGCGCAGTAGGTGGTCATGCAATGATCAATGTAAGCTAGCATTTGTTTTGATTTGTAGTTTAGCAAACCATGCGTTATGTAGCAGAGTATGGCGCATATAAGACGATCTGATGTTTTGTACAATCTTCCTACAACGCGTTGCACAACATGTTACACGTGTACTGTACACCCAAACATCAAGTAGCCGAGAGAGAACGTTTCAAGAAAACTTTCGAAGGTTGTCTTGAGAGAACGGACGTACGAGCACTCGCGCAATGCGTTATAGTATGCGCACACCGCAGCTCGTGGCGTAAAAGGCAAGTTGTTTTTATAGTTTCGTAGACGATTATCGTATTTCAAGGGCAACAGAAGCGATCGTGTAACGCGCCCCAGGTAGGTGGTCGTGCAAGGGCCAATGTAAACTAGCATTTGTTTTGGTTTGTAGTTTAGCGTACCAAGCGTTATGTAGCAGAGTATGGCGCGTAAAAGACGATCTGATGTTTTGTGCAATTTTCCTACAGCGCATTGCACAACATGCTACACGTGTACGCTACACCCAAATATCAAGTAGCTGAGAGAACGTTTCGAGAAAACTTTCAAAGGTTGTCTTGAGAGAACGGACAAACGAGCGCGCGCGCAACATGTTATAGTACGCGCACACCGCAGCTTGTGCCATAAGAGGCGAGTTGTTTTTATAGTTTCGTAGACGATTATCGTATTTCAAGGGCATCAGAAGCGATCTTGTAACGCGTCGCGCAGTAGGTGATCGTGCAAGGACCAACTTAAACCAGCATTTGTTTTGGTTTGTATTTTAGTGTACCACGCGTTATGTAGCAGAGTATGGCACGTATAAGACAATCTGATAATTTGTACAATCTTCCTGCGACGCGTTGCACAACATGTTACACGTGTACGCTACACCCAAATATCAAGTAGCCGAGAGACCATTTCG